TCTTTTGAATTGTGCAGTTCATGCTGCTCTGTGTATGTGTGTGTTTTGTGGCTTTTTTCTGTGACAATCAGTTAATGGAGCAGTGTGTGTTGAAATGAAAAGTATAAGAGCTTCAGCAAAGATCATGGTTTTTGTTTTTAGATCCTAGAGGAGGAAGAGAAGTTCTTAGAAACTGCTTCCTGTATAATGAGTCTCAAGAATATTTGCTTTAGCCCTTCAAATATTTTTTTTATCTTATAAACAAAAGAAATGTGAAGAGAAAGAACAAGAAAAGTCCAGAGGGGGTATCTCACATGCTAAAACAAAACACTAATCATCTGATGTTTTGTTATAGGCAAAGGCTTCCCGCAATCTCTATTTAGTGTATTATTTTGCAAATTCAGGAATTTATTTGGCTTTGATGGGACAAAGTCACTAAAAATAACTAAATAGCAATGATGTAAGCAAACAATTTGAAACAAAAACCCCTATATTTTGCATGGTTTTGTTGCCATAGCATGTTGCACTGTGATGTGTGTATTGTCTCAAGAGGTTGATCTATAATTTAAAAAAGACCTTTATATTTAACAATTATATTTATTTTCACTGAGATGTTTATAGAAATTTCTGTCTTATTATAATCTGGTTTGCACTAATAAAGAAAACATGGAAACAAGTACAATACACCTTGACCTTTGAGAGCTAGACTTTTTCCAATCTACAGTGGTTGGGAATCTACAATAATTGAGGTAACTATAGATTTTAAAGAAAGAGCAGTAGCCCAATATGGGCAGAAGGCTGATTAACTTATTTTAGCAAACCCAGTGCTGTTGAGAGAGAAATGTAGCTGTAACATATCTGTGATCAGGGTGATCTTATTTTCCTACTTATCTTTAAAATGTGCTTTTTTCTGTGCACTTGTCAATTTAGGGATAAAATATGAGCAACAAGATATGAGTACCATAATTAAATGTAAATAATTGAGTAATGTTACCCGAAATCAAGTTAGACTTTTTTGCAGTGTGCTCATTCCCTTTTCTTTCCATCCCAGCTATGTCTTAGTCTTTAGAACTTTATCTGTAGTGCTTCACCCTAGGACAAAGTGAATACTATTGGCTGTGTCTAGACAAGATGCTTACTGCACAGTAGCTAGTTACGACTGCACAGTAGCATTGCCAGGAAGCCATGCGGGTATGCTACTGTGCAGTAACGCCGATTACTGCACAGTCATTTAGTACTTGGGCATGCAAGTACTAAATGACTGGAGTAACAGTTGTGTAACAACTGTTTCATGTAGACATGGCCACTGAATGCTTTGGGAAATTTGCATTACGTAATGACAGAGTAAGAGCAAAAAGATCAGTTTTGAATAAAAAGGTATAAGTGTACCAAAGAGTGAGTATAAAGAGGAAAGAGTCAAGGTGACAGAAATTTTGAATAAATATATCATTTAAGGGAGAAAGTGGGGGGGAAATGGGTGGAATAGAATTCAAGAGGATAATGAAATCTTGTGTGTAGCCTTTTACTTTGCTAGATAGGGATTTGGGCTTCTATGATAAGAGGTCCTTCCCTGTCCTGGTGCAATGTTCTACTACCCAAGGAATGGGCATGGAAATAAAAATATCATAATTTTTCTTATTTCAACCTGGATTATTGCATAAGAGATATAGATCCAGTTATGTAGTCTGCTAAGTGTCTCTGTCATGGTACCGAAATTTTAAAAACCCACAAAAAGCAGAAAGCTTTCTGTACTGCCTTGATTAGGCATAAATTGAGCACAACAAATGTGCGGTGTGATTCTGTCTGATGCAATACTTATATTTTTGCTGATGCAGTTACTCAGAGAATATCAATACTTTTAAGGAAAAAGCTCATCCGTCTAAAAGGACATTTATCAACTGCATTTACTGACCTAGAAGGCCAAATAGTGATTCACAGGTGCACTTCAGTTAATACCTCAAAAAATAGCTGCCCACATGCATCTGGATTTGTGCGTGCAAATAGTGACATATGTGTACCCACATGCCTGTTTGTGGGCACAGTTGCCCACCTCCATCTTTACAATTTCCTATTTGTGTGCACTTATGTATAGCTTACACAGACAGCTAAGGCATCTGTCTGTTTGAAAATCTGGCTTTAGAAATTCTAGGTATTTTAAATTGTCCATGATGTTTAGGGATGGCTGGAAATTCTACAGCAAGACAAACTTTTGTAAGAACTTGTCCCCTCATAGCACATAGAAATCTTTAATTAAAAATATCTTTATACTGACAAACCTTTACTGAGTCTAAGGCAAGGTTTTGAAGAGAACATTGCCTGGATATCTGTGGCCAGGGAAGCTGGATGCTTGAAGGGACCCAGCCTAGAGACACATGTGCCTGGAAAGCCTGAAAGGATTCTGCTGGGAATGGTAAAAGGTTTGTTTTTGCCACTCTCCCTTTTAACATACCAGGGACCTGAGGAGTGGGGGTACCAGAGACTCCAGTGGCTCTGCAGCACTGTAGCTGTCCTGCTTGCTTTTGCATATGCCCAGACTTGTAAGGTAGCCCCTAATGAGCATATGGGAAGTGTATACACACTGTTTTTGCTACCTCCTTCAATTTGCTGGCCTAGGTGGCTGCCTATATTAAAATCATAGAATTATAAAAAATTAGGGTTGAAAAGAACCTCAGGAGGCATGGCCAATCGGTGCCTCCTGAGTCTGGGAGGGCACCCACAGGTGCCACTGTCAGCAGTGGGGGCAGAGCTGGCGAGCTCCCACAGGCACCGATGGTGGCAGCAGCCCTGTCAGGGGTGGCGTATACCCCTTTGTGCCCTCACTACATGTCACCTATG